TCCAATAACAGGCACGCAAATCCATCTGTCTTTTACCAAACCGGACATTTAAGAGATTAAGGGGAGCTTGGAAGCGAGGGGGTGGGGGGTGTGAGGGAGGGGGTGGAGGGAAAGGGAGAGGGCAGGGGGAGTAATGACCCAATCATTGTATGCATATATGAATAAAGGACATTAAAAAAAAAAGAGATTAAGGGGAGAAAAAAAACCATATGTCAATCCTATGGCTAAGTTTTTTGTTTGGGGAAATAGTTCTTAAATAAAAAATACTAGCCAGGCACCAGTGACTCAAACTTGTAATCCTAGCTATGTGGGAAGCTAAGAATGGGAGGATCATGGTTCGAGGTCAGCCAGGTCTAACAGTTCCTGAGACCCCCATCTCCAAAAGAGACTGGAGGTGTAGTTCAGGTAAAACATCTGCTTTGCTACTACGAAGCCGTGAGTTCAAACCCGGTCCCACCCAAAAAAAAAAAAACCAAAGAAAACAACTTATGATTTTAGGTTTTTAAATTATTAAATTACTTTTAAATTTATTGATGCTTTCATTGTGCAGTGATTAAAAACACACAGATGGACTGAGACAAGTAACATGACTACAGTAGTGGTCCAACAGTGCTCAAGTATCACTGAGCTCAGCATGCAAGAGGCCTAGGTTTGAGCCCAACACCACAAAAGGAAGGACGGATGGATGGAAGGAAGAGAAAAATTAATTTTAGAAGAAAAATCTTAAAAAGGAAGCATTTTGTTTTGTTCATTTTTCTAGTCCTAGGGAGGGAACTGAGGGCCTAGTGCATGCTAGGCACTCTACCACTGAGTTACACCCCCTCAGTCTTCCAAGTTTAAGAGCAGTTTTGACCACTACACATAAAAATGTCAAAATCATAAAAGGAAAAACAAAGAACCTATCACAGTAGACAAAAATTAAATTTAACATGGGATCTTAGATTGGAACCTCAAAGGACAGGAGAAAAAAACTGAAATCCAAATAAAATTTGTACTTTACATAACAGTACTGCACCAAAGCTGATTTCCTGATTTTTAAGAGAAGCTGGGTGAAGGAAACATATATATGTTATATATCTATGTATACCACATATGTAAAGATACACTATATATGAACTCTCCATATTATTTAACTTGTAAAAATTATTTCAAAATTAAGCTAAAAAGTTCAACTACCAATACACAAATGAATAAAAATTTGTTTTATCATAGTTCAAGACAACAATTTCATAATCTCTAAAAAACCTCCAAAGCTAAAATTTTAAAAAAAGACCACACCACTGAAGTTTAGTAATTTCATATCCATCTACTACATCTGTCCCAAAGCAAGCAAAGTAAGTATCATATAGCTTTTTAAAAATTCAATCACAAAATCTATGGGTGTGTATGTGTGAAGCATTAGATTTCCATCAACAGCAAATGTTTATAAATGTGTCCTGATAAGCCAACAAGTGCCACTGTGATGAGACAGATCAAGTTTATGAGACCTTATCAATAAATTGTCCAATTTCAAATTGCTCCAACTGACAGTAATAAAACAGTATTGAATCTTTGGCGCGGGGGGAATGCACTAATTGTAAAAATTGAACACAATTTAAGTCTATGGAAAAACAATAAATGTATGTAAATTAGACAAGATAGTTCTTAATCTACATAAAAACAGCTTCTTCAATATATAAGATTTCCATACTCAGCAAATCCTCTTCCAAAGCAAACAGAGCAGATTATTAGTCTACCCTAAAGAGCAAAGGTTAGCAAGGGATGCCCAAAAGCCAGAACTAGGCAGCCTGTTTTTGGTCCACCTATAAGCTGATGGTTTTATATTTTTAAAAGGATGATTTAAAAAAAAAAAAAAGTAAAGAAAAAAGAGAAACTGTAACACACACCATATAGCCTGCAAAGCCTGAAATACTTACTATCCAGTCCTTTACAGATTAAATCCAGAAGAAGTTTTAATACTTTGAAATGAGAAGTTTTATAGAAATTACCGCCAATTCTGGAAGTATTCTAAGGTACCACCACAACAGATTTTAAAATTTTCACTCATCTTAAATTTTTTTCTGTACTTTCAAGACTTATGTCACCTACTCAAGGACATTCCATTTTACCACAAAAAAATAATCAGCTATTAGTAGCTATACAATAAACCTGTCTTTACTAACCTTTTATTAACAACACTTATCTAAGTGGAAATTTTCCTATTACCCTACAGACTGAAAAGGGATATTTTAACCTTTCAATCAATATAGGCAGTTTGTCTTCAGCTCAAAGCTTTGACTAACAAATTATTTATAAACCATGCATGTACGTCCCACTTCAAAATATATAAAGTATACCTTTTGTTTCAAAACAGATTAATACCATAGTCAACTGTAACAAACAAAACTCATACAATGCTTTATGTAAAGTAATGAAGTAATGGGTTGGAGGCGTGGCTCAAGTGTTTGCTAGGTAACAGCAAGGCTCTGAGTTCAAACCTCAGTAGCTTCAAAAACAAAAAGGTAATGCAGTATCAAAGTTTTACTTATTTATTTAGAGGTGTGTTCTTGCTATGTCGTGCTGTATTGCCCAGGCTGAATGAACTCTCAAGGCTCAAAGGACCCTCCTGCCACCAGCCTGCTTTCAAAGTTTTTAAAAGAGTAATCAAAAGAAGCTATTTATGACCTTAAAAAACATAGCTCATAGCCTGGTGCCAGTGGCTCATCCCTGTAATCCTAGTTACTCAGGAAGCAGAGATCAGGAGGAGACCCTATCTTGAAAAATACCCAACCCAAAAAAGGGTCAGCAGAGTGACTCAAGTGGTAGAGCGCCTACCAAGCTTGAGGCCCAGAATTCAAACCCCAGTATTGCAAAAAAATTAATAAGTAAAATACAATTCATGCATGGGACCATGAGTGAAATCTCCAGCATCTCCCAAAAAGAAAAATGTGTCTTTCAATTCAATACTGACCCCAAATTCTGAAAATTAACTTGCTATAGATTATAAACTTTATATGAACACTAACATAGAAAAGGTGGTGTGATAACCTTCTTAGAAAGTTTGTTTTAATTTTAAGTCGTTTGATTATCTGCTCCACAAAACATGAATGACCCAGATTTCAAGTTACAATGGATTTTAGCCTTCACTCAACTCAGATTCACCCAGTAAAGGGAAAAACATCTAGGAAGGCAGTACCCTGGCTGTAGTAGACAATCATTTTCACATCTGTGAGCCTCAAGTCCACACATTAAGAAAAGGAATGGGGGATGGGGATGTAGTGGTAAAGCACTTGCCTAGCATGTGCAGGCCCAGGTGTTCAATCCCCTGCACCAAAAAAAAAAAAAAAAAAAAAAAAAAATTGGTCTAGAAGGTTTCTAAGGTCTCTTCATCTCTGGAATCCTGATATTATAACCAAGATTTTTTTTAAATTTATGTCTGACCTAATTCCAAATAGAATCTGCAGCAACTCACATCTCACATACAAGTCAGAGGACAGTACACAAACACATAAAAACTAGACCTTCCGCCAAAAAGAGGAGGGAAGCAAGGTAACATCAGAAATTAGTGAGTTCAATCCCCAAAAAGAAAAAGAGCTGGTGTAGTGGCTCAAAAGTGGTAGAGCGCCCATCTAGCAAGTGTGAGGCCATGAGTTCAAACCCCAGTACCGCCAAAAAAAGATAGAAAATTAGCTTCAGCATCCCCCAATACCATCATCCTACAATGCTTAAAACAAATGTATTTTTAAGTCAGACCATTAAGCTATCGTCCCAAAAAGGTGAGCCATTTCCCAAAGTCTAAAAAATACCTCGTTTTAAACTATTCAAAAAAGCAAATACAGTAAGCATACCACTTTGAAGGAAAAATGCAAAGCAACCTATAAGCTAAACTTTTATCAAGAAGCTATTTTTCCATTCAAGTTTACTTCTTTAACTTGAGAGCATAAAAGCGAAAGATCAACCTTCCTTCCTATTTGATTCCTGCACAGAATCAACTACCATGCCTTTCAGTTCAACTTCCTCAACAACTAGAACAGTTGTTGAAGAAAATAAGCCACCTCATCTAGAACCCTCAAGTTACACAACTGCAGGGAGAGAAGTGCCGAGTTCAGGGAAACCAAATCACGACCAGACACTGGTGGCTTAGTTCTTGGTGGAAGGTGCTTCCACAGAAACGTCTCTACATTTCTTATGGACCAGAGTTTCTCTTAAGATTTAGAAGCCAAATCACTTCAGGGGTCAAGTTCAAAGCCAGAAGTGGTTCACCCTGCTCTGTCCTCCCAAGCCGCAGTAAGGTGTGCATGAAAGCCTCTTCATACTGAGTAAATTTCATGCTACGTGAACTGTATTACAACAAAGCCGCTAAAAATTAGCGAGCTTCCAAACTGGTACGACTCCGTCAGGATAAAGGGCAGAGACAGCTCCTGTCTGTTTCAACCTTTCAAAAATGAAAGGAAATGAATGGCTGCTGGTGCACAGCGCAGAGACCCAACTACTGTTGGTGTACAATCAGTACACCTTAAGGCCCCGACACGAGGAATCAGCCTGAGAGGGTGGTCCCCAGAGGGAAAACTTCACTTTGGGACAATCAGAAACACAAGGAAAGCCCAATGTGCTTTTCCCCCTTACTGCTACCCTTTCACTTCCCATCTAATTTATTATGATAATATCAAGTGATTAAAACTGGCAACCAGGAAAGACTACACCGTAGGACAAACGAGTAGGAATGGATACAAAACATCGCAGGGTATTCTCCCATTACAACTGCTACCTTTTGGTACGGTGTATTCTATCCCCGGGGGTAAAAGAAAGGAACCCCTTCCCCCACCAAGCCTAGCCATCTTAACATCAGAAATGAAGTCCCCCCGGAACGGCTCCACGGCCGCCAGTCACGGAGAGGCCTGCGGGGCTCCGAGGCCCCGACCGCCACGCGGCAGGACCCCGACCCGCTCTGGGAGGCTCCGCAGGGCTACAGGGCTGTGCGGGCCTCCCCCGGAGCGGCTGCCGCGCGCGGGCGCACGCACCTCATGCTGTAGGCGCCGGCGCCCAGCTCCTGCCCGATGCCCGAAAGGCTGGCGTCGAAGTCGTGCACCAGCCCAGACTCGATCACCTCGTCCATCTTGAGCACCCAGGCCATCTTCCGGCCTCGCCGCCGCCCGGCGCAGCGCGGCCTTCGGGTCCGAGGCGAAGGGGCCCGAGCTTCGCGGGCGCGTCCTGAGGGAGGGCGCGGGTGAAGCCTCCGGCGGCGCGGCGAGTGGTCACCAGCGGCGGCCCGGGAGGCGGCCGAGACGAGAGCGGCCGAGGCCCAGCTGGCAGGGTACAGCGCGCCGGCGAGCAGCTGCAGCGGGAGCGACCGGGCCGCGGGCAGCGCCTCCCTCCCGCGGCCACCGGCCCCGCGCCTCATGCCGCCGCCGCCGTCGCTGCCGCCGCCGCCACCACCACCACCACACACCCGCCCCCTGCACCGCTCGCGCTGCCGCCGCCGCCGCCGCCACCCGCCCCGCCCCGGGGCCCCAGGTCGCATCCCCCCCGACTGCGCGGGACCTCAGCCCGCTCCGGCGACCGCGCGAGGCAAGCCCTCGGCACGCCCGTCACCCGCTCCCCAGCCTCGACCCGCCCCCCAGTTTCCAGCGCCCCTTCGCCCCAGCCAACCCCGCCGACGCCGCTCCGCCGGCCCGGACGCTGGCTTCGATACGGGTCCGACTTGGGCTCGCTTGTCGCTTCCGCCTCCTCCTCCGGCCCCGCCCCCGACCCGCCCCGCCCTCGCGGCCCGCCCCGCACGGCCCCGCGCTCAGGGCCACACCCCGCGCCTCACGGCAGTGGAATGGCCTGGACCGAGCTGCGGCCCCGCCCACACGACTGGTTCCCAGCCCCTGCGGCGTTAGTGCCTCCCCGCGCTCCAGCCCAGGAAGAGGTGGTGTCAAAACAGCTCCGGTGCCCGTTCTAGCCAGAGAAGCAGAATAATTGACAGGCACACTGGGCAATAACGGCAAGTGCTTGAGCGAAGTTCCTGGGACTCTGTGCTGAACAACCAATCAAAATGTTCTTTCCCTTGGGCGGACTTGAGGACCATATGTGCTCCCAAAAGAATGAGTTCATTGGCTCGCACTGCAGGAAGCGGTTCCGGGCGCCACTTCCGGAGGTGCCTTGCTCTCTGTGGGTATTATTTCCCACTGCTCTTTTTTTTTTTTTTTCTTTCTCCTCACTACCAAAGTATTAGAGATGCTCAGACCTCTGGAGAACTAAAGGCCAGTTGTAAAGAAAATTTGATTGGCATGGGAATAAACCAATCAGCTCCCCCGAGAAAGCTCCTGGAAGTCTTCCACCCTACAGCCGTAGGGCCGTGAGCAAAGTGGAGAGCCACAGTTCAACTGGTGTTTCGGGCCTAATGGCCGCAAGCACGGTGCTGACCTTGGAGCTCCGAACCTCTAGAACGAGCCACCGGAGTCACTGCGCTCCTCAGAAGACCGGAAGGGTGTCCTTCTGCCGCCCAGTACGGGCGTGCACCTACGTGCTGGAGGACTGAAGTCCCTTTCCGCTGAGAAAGAGGTGGCCTCAGCAGACTTGCCGAGGCCGCAGCGATCAGTTTCTGAGGTTTGGCTGCTGGCGCTGCGCCTGCGGAACCTACCTGAACCCGGGCTGATGGAGCCCCTTTCCTCCAAACCACGTGCAGAGCATTCGCCGCTCCGCCCCAGCTCATCAATTTAAGTCAAAAAAACACGGCTTAAAACCAGATCTCAGCCTGTTGTTTAAATATCAACTGGCAGAATTATCTATTTTTGCACACATTTCATTTGACACAGCTACTGAAGCAGATACAAATTATATCTTACAGATAGGAAACTCAGGTGCAGACATGGAAAGATCTATCCAAAGTCACACATTAGCTAAGTCAGGACTTTTGACTAAATTCCAGGTCAAAACATAAGCCATTACTTCAAGAAGTTCCATTCGACTATTAAAAATAACCTGCACAAACTATCGGAGTCAGTGTAAATGCTTTGGGCTGTCTGATTGGAGACTTAGACACATTTTTCCACGGACACTGTTCAGTGAGCTAGCCACTTACATAACCAGGAGTGTAACCCAAGGCTACTCCTTTTGGGAGTTGTCCTCGGCGGTTACTTTTGCTTCCCAGGAATTTAAATTCTAAGTAGTTTTTCTTTAATTTTCAAGACCCCGAACATGTGGCGACCTTCAGATAACATCAGAATGTGTACAGTTTAATGTTTAATCCTGTGCATCAACTAGCACGAATCATGTAAATTGCAGTGAGGTTTAACGTGGATTTTAAAAATCCTTTTTTTTTTTTTTTTAATTTGTTTGGTTTTGGTGAGACTGGGGTTTGAACTCAGGGCTTCGAGCTTGCAAAGCAGGTGCTCTTTCCGTTTGAGCCATGCCTCCAGTCCAGAAAAACAAAACCAGGAACTAGTCCCAGAAGGCCAAGGTACCTGCCAAAGGAAGAAAAAGGGTATTTGTGTCCTAAATGATAAAGGCCCTTCCCCCTCAGCACAAAGGCTCCCTGCCCATTGTCCCACCAACCTCCTTTCACTCCATATAAAAACACTTCCATGTACCTGAGGTCCCGTGAGGAGCACAGCCCCCTCTGTGCCTGGTTTCATTCCCACCAATTACTGTCTTCAGAGTATTGGCTTTTGAACAGTGAGCAGACAGATGTGTATCCAGCACACAGGTTGGCCAGGTCTATTACTAATTGTTGGAAAATACAGAAAAATAGAATGGGGGGAAGGAAAATTATCTGATTCTTGGGATGAGTATGATAGTGCAAACTCATCAATTTCTTTCTTTTTCAGTACTGGGAGTTGAACCCTTATGCTTCCTAAGCTGGAGCGTTAACACTTGGGCCACAACTCCAGCCCTTTTTGCGGCTGGTTAGTTTGGAGGAAGGATGCTTTTTTCCAGGCCAGCTTGGACTGAGATCCTTCTAGCTTAGGCCTCCCCCTGTTGTTGGGATAACAGGTGTGCACCACCACCCGCAACTTTTTTTCCATTGAGATAGGCTCTCGCAAACTTTTTTGGCCAGGCTGGCTTAGAACCACAATCCTGCTCATCTCAGCCTCCCATGTAGCTGGGATGACAGGTATGTGCCATTACATTAAGTACTGGTTGACATGGGGGTCTCACTAACTTTTTGCTTAGGTTGGCCTCAAACAAATCCTCCTGATCTCAGCCTCTCAAGTAGCTAGGATTACAGGCCTGAACCACCAATGCTAAGCCTAGCCTTAAAAAAAAAAAAATTGTTTTTGAGACAGGGTCTCCCACTATCTTTACTCAGGGGCACTCTTCCTGCCTCTGTTTACGGAGTAGCTGTGGCATGAGCCACCACACCTGACTTTTGTCGATTTGTTTTTTGTTTGTGTTTTGTTTTGCAGTATTAGGGCTTGAACTCAGGGCTTCCAACTTGCTAGGCAGGTGCTCTGCCAATTGAGCCATGGCTCAAGCCCTGTCAATTACTTTTAATCAAGCTGTACTCTAAAGAAGCACCCAAACACAAATGTACAAGCGGAGACTCAGAAATCTAAGAAAGGATCAGTAATCTTTACCTGAAAAGTTGGAAAAATAATAGTCTCTTTCCTTGATTCCAACTTTAGAGATACTACTGTGGCTGAGGATGTAAGAGGTACTCAAAACTGCTTTTGCTGAAAAGCACTGATTTCTCACTTAGGATCACAAGGTCACTAAAAGCAGGATAAAAGTTTTTCATTTTCTATGTCTCCTTCACTTTGAGTCTTGTGCCTGTTTAGCTTTTTTTTTTTGTGGTACTGGGATTTAAACTCAGGTCTACACCTTGAGTTATTCCACCAGCCCCTTTTGTGTGTGTGAAAGGTGTTTCAAGATAGGGTCTTGCAAACTATTTACCAGAGTTGGCTTTGAACCACAATCCTCCTGATCTCTTCTTCCTGAGTAGCTAGGATTACAGGTGTGAGCCACTGGTGCCCAGCTTCTGTTTAACTCTTCATGTCGGCATATTAATCACTTAAGGAGTATATGTCTAAGGTGGTACTTTATCTCATTCCCCTTCAAGGCTGCAGGCACAAAGATAAGAGAAATTTAGGTATCTTACTGTTGCGAGCTTTCTCACACTCTGTTCCTCCTGACCTAACTGGGGGTGACTGGAGATGCATAAAGACAAAAGATAGAAGACAGCTGGAGCCAGGTGTGCTGGGTGCTCAGATGGAGATGCACAGCAGCCTCCTTCTTTTCTCTAGTAACTCTTCTTTTACTTTGCTTCTTCTCTATTCTTTAAGGCCTTACTTCTTTACTATTCTTTAAAACCTTGCTTCTTTTCTATTCTTTAAAGTCTCCTTAGACTCACTCTGTCCCATGTTTTCTTTAGTCACTCTTAAAAGTCTTGGCTCTCAGACTTGCACTGTCCCATGTTCTCTCATTAGCTTTCTTAAAGTCTCAGTGCTCAGACTTGTACATCCCATGTCTCCTCTAATCTCTAGCATAACTCAGCAGCCAGCTGCATCATTCGGCAGCAGTCCCCTCACAAGCCGCCCCAGCAATAGCTTCCTTTTCTCTCAAGCAGCCAACCAATCAATCCCAATCAGTCCCCATCAATCCATCAATCCTCTTTCAATCAATCCCGTGTCGTCCTTCAGTAAGTCTTTTATATCCAATGGTAAACAAGGAGGTGGAGTAACCATTCTCGGGAGGGGCGTGACATTATAAAAAGAGAAACCTGAGTTCCTACTTCTCTGAACTTAAACAACTTAGGAAAAGCAGCTGTGCTGCATTTTGCCTTTGCGACCTTCTGCTGCTGGGGTCATACCAGACTCAGCTTGTAGATTTGAACAGCTGTGCTTATGTCAAGTTCTTATAGGCTTCTCATAATCCACTCCTCACATCTTACTGTCAACTTTTTCCCCAAAACCCTCATAAAAGTTTCCAGTCACTGTTTTACACTGAAGTCACCTTGGATTCCAAGGATGGCAGAGCTTCACAGAGAGATCACCCCATATTGAGATTATTCCTTTTATGAGTGAGCTTTGTTAAAAACATAGTTGGACTCATTTCTGTCTTTCCACAATGTCAGATTTATTGAATAACAATGTCAATTTTGTTGGCATTAATTTGCCAAGTGCTACTGATTTTGCTTGATAGCCATGAACCAATTAGCAAATGGGTTCTTTTATTCCAGTCTTAATTACTAATAATAAGTCTCAGATGACACAATTCACTTAATAATATAAGGACTATAGAAAGCTAAGAAAGAGTTAAAGTGGCCATAGAGGTGAAAGAGACCTTGCTGAAGGCAAAGGCGGAGAGCTATTACAGATGCAGAGTCACTGCTGGGTGGTGAGATTAGATGCTAATAAATGAACCCAGTTGCAGAGCTGTTGCGGCACAGTAGTGTCAAAACAGAGCTAGTTCAAGGAAAATGGTGGTTCAGGCTTGACAGCTGACTCCAAGCTTA